ATCTACATGAAGACAAGCATACTGTCCACTAGAAACATTGCATTATTTTTTAACAAGGTATTGATTGATCCTGCAGCAGTCCCAGATGGAGGGTGACGTCTGCACTGTCACCTTCAGAGGCTTGGATGTACCACCCCCTACTGGCCCCATCTGGATCCTGGGAGCCAACTTCATCGCCCGCTACTACACAGAGTTTGACCGCCGCAATAACCGGATAGGGTTTGCTACGGCTGTGTGATACTTTTCTCTTATATTTACATAAGAGCAGTGGTTCACAAACTTTATACTCCACGTAAGCTTAACACACAAGAGACAATTGCCATTTCAAATATCATCAATAAAAGATTATGACATGTAAACATAAGAACAAGACAGGAGCTGTGTAAGATATAACTGGTAGTTACTCTGTACTGAACTAGAATGAATGCAGGACTAAAGCAGGCCTAATTGGGAATGGTAGAGGGTAAAGCATTGCTCTAATCTTAAATTTAGTTTAACCCCATCACAAGAGGAAATGTTAAAAACTGAACTAAATAAATACATAATCTAAATCATGACTGTGAAAGAGTGAGCACTTTCAATACAGCCGGTGCACCACCAATAGTATCAACAGAAACCACTGCAAAACCACTGCACTACTTTTACCATACACTGGACAAATGCCACATCTATATTAATGGTTGCACTGAAAACTGTCTGTATTTTTGTATTTATGGGTGGCAAACACATGTAGTATGAGCATGTGACTGTGATGATCGTTATCTACTGCTACAGTGACAATCTGTATTCTGCTGACGAAATAAGAATAAACTTGTTTATTGGGATTTGATTTGTTACATGTTAAAATACAACAATAACTGCATTGTTTCATTTCTACTCCTAGTCCTGGTCTAGGTTTAGTTAGGCAGATTGTAGTGGCATATTAAGTGGCCACAGTATATATGTCATTTTTTGAAATAAATAAATAAAAATCACTTCCTCAACAGAAAGGCTTTATGTAGCTTTAAAAATAGACACAAGGTAGTGTAGATAATCAGGAATAATCTTACAGGCATAGACCGTATATATTCTTTGCTTACAGGGCAGATTCTATAGATACTGTATGTTAAAGTCAAAGCATAACTCTACAATATGCTATAATAGAGATATTTAATTTAAGAAGGTATAATATTTACAGTGAAAAGGAAGTATGTAGACTGAAGTAGTTTAAGAAATACTTGTACAACTACAATGTTCTGCAAAGAAACTCCTGACTACAAGAGTACGCCACTGCAAAAAACTACATTCTTATAACGAGTAACACTTGTACAACTAATCTCCATTGTAACTTCTATTAAGTACAATAGTATCTGTATTGCACTTTAAATTCATATGGAAATTTAAAGCATGCAGTTTTATCCCAAACTCAAAGATTCAGAAGGAATTTTTCTGACTCATGTCTCATTTAAATGTATTCCATCACATGAAAAATACAATACACAACCTATTCTTGCTTTCATTAATTTTCAACCATTTGGTATCATTGACAGTGCACGTATTAAAGAATTATAAATAAATACAATCAAGTAAAATACTTTAGCATAGTATTATAAATACTTCCACTAGCACTAGATATACTATGCTATACTAGCACTAGACATATATAATATGTCTTTATAAAATGAAATTGAGATTTCAAAGTTATTTACAAGAAGATCAAGATAAAGTAAAGATAACTCAAAAGGTTCTTCTTAATAAATTTGCTTCTCTGCGGTAGACTGGACATTCTGTTCAAACAGTATCCAAGCCGCAGTAAAAACATCTCACTTTGTAAGTCGATATAAATGTACAGCCTAAATATATACGTGTCTAGAACACCATCAGCCAGTACAGATCCATCAGACAGTACAGATCCATCAGACAGTACAGATCCATCAGACAGTACAGATTCAGCAACACTGGGGAAATATTTGTCTTCCTTACATAGATATTCAATTGTTGTACATTTGATTCATTCTGATACCTAGTCAATTTGTAAAGGACCACCTGGAATGGTCTCCAGGGCTATGTCTAGTCAGAGGATCAACTCATCCAAACAATATTTTTGTAAATGGTAAAAATACCACTGAATTGCCATATTAAAAAAAAAACATTGTCTGTGAATCGGTCAGGGAGACCTGGCAACTTTGGTATCCGCAGGGAAGGCTTTGTGGAAAAAAGCTTGGGAACCACTGAGATACAAAATGTACCATTTAGCTGCATATTGAAGATCAGAGCCAGATTAGATAATATCACCACAGCTCAACAACAACGAAGGCTAAGTTAAATACAGTTAAATACAGTTAAAACGCATTTTCAATGTAAAACCATGTGAGATGTCAGGTGGAAAAGTACGTCTGATTTAGATCTTACTCATATGTATATTTGAGTCAAAAAATTACCCTTTCCTTTAGACAGTTCAGACAGGCCACATTTGAGATGACACTTTTTCATTAACCAGGTTGTGCATACTAGCCGAAAATAGCCAGAGTTCTACATTACATATTACATATATATTACATATTGTGTGGATGAGAAAACAGGACAAGCGCCATCATGTCGTTGGGTACCTGGGGATGGATTTCATGTGAAACTTGTGGTTAATGGCTTCTTCAGCACTTTCTTATTGAGGCCTATGCCTAAAGATCTATGGAAACAGCACATTGTGGAGAACATATTCAAAAAAAATTTTTTATATGTAATGGCTCGTAGTATGCTAATAGTAAAAAATTGTAGCCCAACTTCAGTAAATGTAGGTGAAGACACAGAGGGCCTGAAGTTAGAAAGGTTTGTCATGTGACACTCAGAGATGACTTGTATGTAAGCACATTAAAGTAACAAAGCGTGGAAAATGACGCTTCCTGCAGTGACAGAGTCTAGGCTGTTCAAGTGTTTTTCTATCTCAGTGGGGTTGGCAAATAGGATATGAGAAAAAAAAATCCCTGATTTGAGTTGTTGTGTGGCTCTCTCTCTTACTCTCTCTCTCCCTTTTCAGTCGTACACACCCACTGGTCCCATAAAGCTCGCTCACCCCAGTGCAATGAGATGTCCAAAAAACAGAAAGTCTTGGATTCCTGGAGCAGCGTGAGACAACACCTTCCTCAGACAAACTGTGGATGTTTGCCTTGATCTCATCTTAGGAGAGCATCATATTTTATTTGCTATTCTTTTCCACAAAGGTAGGTTAGCAGTCTGCATCTTTGGATCTCTTGAGGACAGCCAGTGCGTGGCCTACAATCAAAACAATGGACAGTTTCAAGCCTTGATTTTGTCGTTGAGTGGTTGAACATTTAGGACATGAACAGAACTTTCCCGGACCTACTCAATGCCACAGTATACTCTATGTATTTGCAATCTGCCATTCAAAACTTGGAATTTTAAAACATTTATGTTAAAAAATTAAAAGCAATTCTTAAATTGGCATTACTCATTTTATATTAAGATAAGTGTGATGCCCAGGACAGTGTATCTTGTAAAGAAGAACAGAGGTGGGAGGTCTTTAAAAGGGCCGTCTGTCAGTGGAGACAGTCTTGGTTTGAACTCACTCTGAGCAAGAGAAGCACATCAGGCAATACTTCCCGCGCCACATGACGAAGTGTCAGATTTACTTAACAACAAATTCCTTTCTGTGGAGTGGAACTGAATATAGGAAAAGGATCTTTTTGCTTCAATGTGTATGACAGAGGAGTCTGGTGTTTTCCATTGTCAAACACGTACCAGATGACCATCCTTGTGTCAACCCTGATCCAGAGTAAAGCTAAGGTAAGGGCACTGCTTTTCTACTGTGGACCTCAGTGAAGCATGCAATACAAAAGAGAACGTGTGAGTGCACTTTATGAACTTTACAGCTGTATTGAGCAATTTGTTGGCCTATATGCCGACATCATGGAACTGATCAAGAAGAGCAATCATGTGATAGATGACATTTGGATCATGTGCTCCTACCACATACCAGACACATCAATAGTTATATTAGATTAAATTGATCTGATTATAAGTCATCTTCAGGCACAACGTTAACTCCCAATAATAGCCACAGGAGACAAGTCTTTGAGCTTTGGACCTCTCAAGTCTTTGAGCTTTGGAGCTTTCTCTGCTCACTGAGTTGGATTCTTAGCTCACTATTAAACACTATTGCACTGATTTTTTTCCCTTTAGAGCCTTGGGAACCTATTACTACCCCCAACAGTTATTACTGGAATCTGTGATGACTTCTCCTGGGAACATATATAATGATGTTATATCATTTCAAGTCCTAAAAAGGACTGGAAAAAGAATATGAGGAACAGACTGACATCAATATACAATGCTTTTCCCACGTTTGTGTTCTAAGTAGAATAACAACACAGTCTGTTGTTTATATTTTAGTGTTTGGAAAGTGGCAAATCATTTAGTAAAGGGCTGTAGGTGTTTGGTAAGTGTTGACTTGTCATTATTTTTTTTTTATATCCAAAATTGTGGGCTGAGTCCATCTGGAATTGATTTTAGAGCAGGAGTTGCCAAAAGCTTGGTAGCAGTCATCATATTCACCACAGGAGCTTGGTGTGCTCGGGCCATGCTTCAGAGTGGACAGAAGTATTGACCATAACTGGAACTAATCAAATTCTGAGGCAGGTTCTTCTGAGGTCATGCACATTTACACTTGGGCTGTGGTATTGTGACAGCAAAGAGCCGTTGAGCGTGTTGCCTAAACTTGATCTTTTATGGGGACCCTTGTTGAGAGACAAAACTCACAGAGCAGAGGGCAAAAGAGTTGTTTTCAGTAAAAGGACTGTTTGGGGGCTACTGAACACGGGTAGAACAGTTTGAAGCTTGTGTCATGTAAACATAGTACTAAATGATTACTTAATCAGATTTCTCATGATTCACTGGGGAATATTCATAGTGCACTAGTGTAATTGATATTAAGTATATAAGTGGTCCATATGTGTTGGTCCCACTGTCAGAGTGTAGTGATGCTGACTACTTCAGTTTCAGGTAAAGTGTCTTTGTGTGCTTGTGTTGCTGAGCTTCCCTCTGACGATGACGGAGGTCCCTGGTCCCTGCAGACACTCCATCACACGGGAGCATCTGCTCACACTCAGACACTTGGTAGGTCCCGCAGAGTCGTGGCCATACATCAGCCGCACAGACAGCTGATATCTCACTGTTGTTTTGCAGATGGATAACCAGTTAAGGGCTGGGTGTTCTATGACGTACACATTCATAGAGCGGAGAAGTTTGGTAAGGTAACCCTTGTTTTTATGGACAGTTTTCTCTTGAAACATTTGAATCAAACTCTCCATCTGCTGCTCCATGCATTGTTCATACCATTTGTTCTGGTTTCCCACAGAGCAAATGCTGCTTTGTAAAAGCTGCTTTACCCTGGATCTTAGAACTCCTCACTACACACTTCAAATACGGCAGAGGTTCAGTTAATGACGGCTATGTTCAGTCCCTGAGGGCCCTGATCCTCAACATGTATTCTCAGAAGTGTGTGCCTCAGATTAATGAGGAGGTGGAGGTGAGTCTCAGGTGCTCTTTCTTCAATTTTTAATAGGTTACATTTTCTATAACTGGAAACATCTACAGGTATTTTGGTGTGCGTTTTCTGTTTCTTTTGATATAACTGGAAACATGTCACAGAAATATGTGGTGTTAAGGACTGACCACAAACAGAAGATAAATATGATGATTGAGGAGAGTTATATGTTTTATGCTCTAGGACAAACCTGAGAGTTTTGAGATGCTCTATAGAAGCTCTCCTTCAGAAGCACTGCAGAGGGCGCTAGAGGTGCTAACACTTTACTGGGAACTGGTCACAATGAGTGAGGCCCCCATCGACTGGACATGCCAGAATGAATACACAGAGACTCTGAGCTCCACCACAGAGTTACCAACAGAGTCCACCATTCAGTACTTCACAGGTGGAACTCCTAATCTAAACACGCATCTGAATTCTGAAGGTTATGTCTGGGACAACAAGAATAACCAACTAAATGTTATTTTCCACAGACAGTTATGGTAGGGACTCCATAAAAGCCACTCAGAGAAAAGCTGTGCGAGACCTGTACAAACTGGTCTTCATCATCACATCCATCTGTGGTGGACTGCTGTTTATACTGACTCTCTACTGTCTCATCACACAAAAGGTACTGCTATTATTTTACTCAGTGCGTTGCTTGTATTTTGTGAGCCAGTTGTATTTCTAGTAAATAGTAAACATTACAAACAACGGAAGTGACTAAACTTTCACATTTCTGTGGTTGTATGCAGCAGCACACTCAACACGTGAATGTTACAGATTCTCTTCTTCTCTGGGATTGGCATCAGTGTTACACATGCTGTGACTCAGAGCATGACTCAGGCTTTGGCTCACTAACCACATTACTTCTACATCAAAACCATGAAAATGACTGACTTCTGGAATTTTCAACATTTAAAAATGGTTATAGTATTGTATAAATTAAATTATCTTTTATTCTCATTGATTATGAATACAACATTTTGAGGTAAACAACATCTAAGCTGCATAACAGGTCAGTAAAAATGCCAAACAACAATTAGAAACAGCATGATGTTCAAGCTTAAGTGGAAGACGATGGACCAATTTAAAGGAAACATGTTTTACCCTGAAAGATTTCAATCACACGGCACAACAGCAGGACCCACACCAGATCTTAACATGGTTACATCAGCAGCAATCACATTAGGCCCACAGCCAAACAGACTGATTTCAGTTAGGGTTTCTCACCACTATTAAGTCACAAATCAGCCAGTTTAATGCTGTTGCACATGCATCGGATATATGTGTACATGTATGGATATGCCTTTGCAGAAAAACTGTTGTTTCATGGATAAAGGTTTTGATTATAGCTAATGCATGCTGACTAAGTCACATGCCACAAATCCTTCTGCTGCCTGTAGTAAACCGCACACCTGTTTTATTTTTATATTTTAACCAATGTTCATTTAAAATGTGCAATTATTTGTGTAGTAAAGGATATTTTTGGCATAAAACACAATTTTACCTTCTTCCATTTATTCGTGTGTCAAGGTACAGGTTTTCATCTAACTACTTGCTTTTAAAGAACTGTACACTATTTGATAAATTTAAATGCCAGACGAAGGTAAATGTGTTAACATCAGACTGGTTCAAAGTTAATAACTCCTAAACCCCATCCAACTGCTCAGTAGCTTACTAATGGTCTCAGCTTCATCATTATAAACAGGTCAAAGGAAGGTGGGCCTCGTGAAATATTTAACAAGGATTGCCTTTAGACACACATTCATCTCTTGTGCGCTCAAGCTTTCCTCAAGCCAGCGATGGTCTCAGTAAAAATATGAATAAATCCTTCTAGACCAACAAAGGATCCTACAGCTGTCAACAGTAATAATTGTAAAATTTACACAGTCCATCTGCGTGCTCTGTGTAACATTAGAGTTACTATAATTTATATGCTGTTATGCATTTTTAAAATTTAAACTGGAACACAACCCAAAAAAATGCATTAAACTGGCAAGCATACAGCAATTGTAGCAACCGTATCCAGATAAAAGGCCTCTGCTCTTCTATCACATTAAGATTTGTAACAAAAAAGAAAGTACTGCATCAAAAATCGTAAAATGTGACTTCACAAATCAGACATCAGAAACAGAAATGGACTTTTGTGGTATTTCATCCTAGCTTGAACTCTGACCTCTTTCCAGCTAAGTGAGAAGCAGGATCATGCACAGCTTTGTCTAGAGGCGCCAGTCAAAACAACATAAACATGGGGCTTCCACCCAAATGTTAGCTTTGCTCCAGCACCTGCGATACATTATAAAGCGTAGCCTTGGTCAATGTTTAGATAGCTCAACAGTAGCAAGTAAGATAATTTCATACATATGCTTAAAAAATCAGCAAACATCAAATTAAAAGGTCTCTGTCACAGAAAAAATACTCAACAGTTATACATTCAAACCAAACAGTGGAAGAAAGAACATTGTTAGTTGATCTCAATAAAATGTGTGACATATCTTATAAAGACATAGGAAACAGTAGGCTCTGTGTATGACTCTGTCGTATCTGTTTCACAAGTTCCTTCAGATGGTCCTCTGTCTGGATCTAGACAAGTCTGGAGTATGAATACTGTATGTAATACATGTAAGATGTGTAACGAATGTCTGATTATTTATGTCTCTTTGTGTGCTGTTTTCAGAAATCCCAGATTCATCACAGTTCAAGAACACACACAGACATAAGGTAAGTTTTATACTGTGTGGTACTACACCTATGGGCCTCTTAATGATGCTCATATTAATCAGTGTGTTTCTATGTGAAACAGAGATCTGCAAGGCATTGAAATGGAAGAGCAATAATGTAAGTGTTCTTTTGTAGCTTTTTCAAAGAACATTTGTTGAACTACTCACAGTAGCCTTGGCATTTTCTCAATTGCAGCACATTTCTGCAGCAGCAGACAGTGCACTTGTGAACCTGTACATTTGATCCAACTTGTAAAGTTTGTGTTTGTATTTGTGTGTAATGTATCATTTATGCTCACCTATTTAATCTGAGGTTTTGCTTTGACTGAGCGCAAAGATGGACCTTAAATGGAATCTGTTCTGTATATGAAGTTTACGCATTATAAAATGCAGATATTGTTGAACATTGAGGTTTTATTTTTACATCTTTGTAAAGTATATGATGTTTCTTGCTAACATTTAACCCAGTGACTGTAATTTTGCCAAACACATGTATGAATTATTTATTACTTAAAGCAGTCACAGTAATGTACAGTAAAAAACTATTTTCTCTAGCTAGCACTGTATTGATATGCAAACACTGAAATTTTGTTTAAATAGACATTTTTATTAAAAGTCTGCCTACAGCCTGTGTATTGAAACAGTTCATTAAGGATCACAAATGGTTTGATTAAAGCCATATTTCCCTTCACACTTTGAGTTCTGGGGAGTAATGTGTTATTGGTCAAATACACTGAACTGGTGTTATTGGCAGAAACAGCTGTTAGAGCAGTACAAGGTAATTAAAAAAACAAAAAAAACCCCAAAAAAACACATTTACAAAAATATTCATGCATTTTGGAAACGTTCAGCGTATCACTTGAAAATATGTATCTCGACTGTATCTCTCCCAGTTTGGAAACCAAATTATCAAACCGTTCCCCATCTGTGATGATGTGCATGTGTGCTGGTCATGGACAAAGAAAAAGGCTAATCCACTCCATAAGTCTTAGGGAAAGAGAAAAAGAAACAGCAATATAAAATGATCTATAACATAGTTAATTTTACAAGCTACTGCTTATCAATGTACAAACCACTGCTGAACTGGATACGATTCATCTTTCTTTTCAAGACACTTCTCCACTGCAAAATAAGGAAAGTATTTCTATAATCCAATTTAGTGCTTTTCTGCAAAGGATTAAAGGCAGCTGTGTGACATGAAAAGGCAAGTTGTCTTCAACAATAAATATGTGGGGACTGCCTCAAAGCAGCCAGAATTGTCAAGAGAGTTCTGCATTTTTTCATTCTCCTAAATTCTTCACATTTATTCATTACAAAATGAATAACTGCAGTTAAACGCTGTCTAAAGAAACTACCTTGCTGTGTGGCCTCTCTTATTTACAAAGTAAAAACAAGAATCAGCAAATGTCAAATATCATCAGATAATTCAAACTAGTACAAAGTATCAGCACAAAACTATAAAGGGGACACATTTTGCAAATCATTACCCTTAATTGATTCATGCACACTTGGGTAATCCAGTATTGTTCACAAGTTTTTAAAGAAAATTCAAGGCTTGAGTGTTCAGAAAATCTCTTTTTACCTACCACCTATCTCCACTCACTTCTCTGGTTCTAAAAAGTAAATGAAAACCTGCTGCTTACCACTTTTACCCAATTGTATTATTAAGATATTTTAGATCAATATAGCAGTTTACAATGAAGACAATGAAAAATAATGATTAATGGATGTTACTGTTTAATATTAAATGCACTGAAAAATGCACAATACAGTATGTTTTCTTTAAATTAGGCATAACAAAATTTACTTTGTAATGTTAATAATGGCAAAACCAAATCATAATGCGATCCTCAAATTACTTCATATGATGTAATTCAGATCAGATAAAAAAAATGTTTAAGATAAACATTAGAATTGAGCAGTTCTGTAACAGCATAATTAGAATATGAATTAATTTGGAAACACAATCCTCATCATTAGAAAATCAAACACATTAATAACTAATGTTACAATATTACCTGTCACCCACCATTCATATGCAGAATCACGATAGACCACATGATGGAGACAAAGCTTCTGAGTACTTTGAGGCCTACGTCTCACATGGCCAAATACTTGCTTTTCCCATATACTAGTACTCCCATTGGTTTGCTCCATCTCTTAAAACATCTGCCAAAATGCTGATATAATAATGGGTGAAAAGAATGCTGAAAAGATTAGTTCCTGTTCTTCTTGTGTAGGCACATTTTCTTCACTTGTGGTATTTCCAATTCAGTAATACAGGAAAAGTTGTACTATCAAAAACACAATACTGGCAATTAGTATTCTTGAGAGCACTGGTTCTCAAAATATGTTACCTCTAGTAGTATACATGTTTTATTTTGTTTCCTAGTAGTATTCAGTATTGAGACAGAATAATCAAGTATTTTGACATGGTTTCGACATGGTTTAGATGTAGATTAGATTAGATCTTGTTTAAGACCAGTTTTAGTACAAGTTTAGTCCTACTTAATCTGCACTTAAATATGTTGCTTGATGCCAGCTTTTTCAACTCCTTTTCATAATGCCTTTACATGTGAGAACTAGAGATACTAAATATGAATGAAAGCAACGCGGCGCAAACAGTAGGCAGCTTCAGGAGGAATGTCTTTGGCACTGATCTGATTGGCATCCAAACGTAGCATTCTCAACATGGAGAAGTTCTTCATGTCGATCGAACTGCAAAAGCTGCCCAAGGAGAACTCTGAAAGAAAACAGATTGGAAACACAGAGATATTAGTTCTATATGGGGCTATACGACCATGACGTAAATGCGCTCACTACAAAAGCCATATCAAGGTGTTAAGAGCATCAGTTCACATTTGTTGAGTATTAAATATGCAATTTTGATATGAAGGCTTGGAGAAGGCATAAAACTGTGAAGAGATTGTGTTTCTATTGGTAATGGGATACAGTTCTTTGTTATTTTTGACAGACTCATTATTCTCTGAAGAAACTGGTTGACTCCTGTAATTTTTGTTTCTTTTACCCTCTTTTTAATATACAATTTTGTCATTGCTTGAATATTAGAGGACCCCTGGGGCTCTGATCAGCTGGACTCACACTCACTGCCATATTCTGTCTCTCATTCATTTAATAGAGAGAGTTTGAGTATTCAACTAACATAACTTATCTTTGGTGAATAGAAAACCTTTGAGCATCCCGTTACCTTAAAGTGTAATACAATGCACTTGTACTTATATAGTTCTAGCAGTAATGTTTGGATTATATGTAATGTGCATGTTCCTACCTTTGATCTTGTTGGCTTGGAGATAAAGGTTTTCCAGGCGCTTGCTGACAGAGGGAATCCTTTCCAGTTTATTGTGAGAAAGATCAAGTTCAACTAATGTACTGATGTTAAATACATTGGGTGGAAGTCCTTTATCTGTGAGTTTATTATGGGCCAAGCGCACAAACTGTAACTTTGGTGTCTTGGTGAGGAAGCCTGGAGGCACGCTATCTATCTGGTTGAACTCCAGATACAGCTGTTGTAGCCTTTCAGGGAGGTTCTCTGGGATTTTTTTTAGCTTGTTTTTCCTTATATCCAGCCTGCTTAAAGATTTTAGACCCTTAAAAGCACCTCCAACAGTCTCTATTTCATTTGCCTGAAGCTGAAGATTGGAGAGGTCCACCATTCCCTCAAATGAGCTTGAAGAGATTTTAGAGATTTTGTTGTGCCCAAGTAGAAGATCTGTGATGGACTTAGGCAGATTAGCGGGTATACGAGTCAGCTCATTGTGATTCAAGTAGAGTCTGTCAAGATTTTTAAGCTTGCTGAAAACATTCTTCCCAATTTTTTCAGAGTTAAGCTTGTTGTGAAACAGGACAACCCAAACCAAGTCGGTAGCATTATCAAACACACCGTCCTGGATGCCTGAGATCTGGTTGCGCTGAAGGTAGACATACTTGATATGAGAAGGTACATAGGGGATGTGCTGTAGGTTGCGGTTGTGACAGTACATGGCTGCTGGATAAGCTGAGGGGCAGTCACACTCCAGAGGACAATCCACATTGTCTGCCATCCAGCCACCATGGCGCCAACGTCCACGGAGCTGGGTCAGCCACTGAAACTGGCTGTACTGGCCAAGACTTGGAGGTACTAATCCAAATGTGAGAAGAAGCACAAATGCTTGCATGATCCCTAGGGAGACATTTATATAATTATAAATTTTATATTTTTAAAAGGTATTAAAGGGCCCGTATTATGCTTTTTTAAAATCTATGTTATAATGTTGGTTCCTCATCAAAAACATACCTCGAGTTGTGTTTTCATTTACACATCCCACAACCCACCTACAAATCCTGCATATTTAGACTGAGTTCTTCTCTCAGTCAGAAACCACTCTGTTCTATCTTGTGATGCCATGTCATAATACAGAAAGTGTTCCAATGTGTTTTTAATCTCCATTCACCTTCAATGGTAAATGGTAAATGGTCACATTTTTCTATAGCGCTTTTCCACCTTCAAGGCACTCAAAGCGCTTTACAACAAGGAACCACTCACCCATTCACACACACATTCACACTTTGGGGATGTTGACAGACAAATAATTAAGGGTTACTCACATGTGTGAATGAAACAAAACACAACTCCAGGTATGTTTTTAAAGCAATAACAGTATTATAACATGACTTAAAGCTCACAAGAGTCAATAACTGAGTAATATAGGATCTTTAATATTATAATAGGCATCTGAGTGAGTTTATTCTAAATTTAAAATAAAGAGTTCACTCACCAACTGGTCCCACGTAATACCTCCTGCTTGTGTGTGTTGCTCTGAGACTGAGGCTGAGATGTTGTTGGTCTATATGGTAAACATCCCCCTCGCGGTTGCAGCTGTAGCTCCAGCCACACACTCTCATTAAAACGCATACATTTTTCCACTTATACACTCCACTATACACTACAAAATATCACCTCCAGCCATGTCAATATCAATCCCATCTGTGCAGCACTGCAGACATCTGCTTTTTAACAACCCTGTTTTCTCTCACTGTGTCATGCCTTATCATTAGGAAAGCTACACAAAGTTTGCCTTGTTGTTTATTGTTCTGGGAGGAAGCTTGTGGTATTAAACATTTATGATGTACAATCTATGATTTACATAATAATAAAACAGTGCTGCTTTGGAATTTAACTAGAACAACAAAGCATGCATGCATTTGTTGAAACTAAATTGTGCCCCCCGCATATCCTTCGTGTAACCAACCCTGTTATTTGAGTGCTAACTTCAGAAATATTTGTGAGTCGCTGCAGGTAAGTCACTTTGGAGATTACAGTGTTCAGCCTGAGGAGAAAGTAAGCATTTTTGGAGCTGGCGCCAGTGCTGCTTCTTCTGGACTGAAACATGTGCCAGTTGATGGTCTATGAGTCCTAAGTCCTAAATATATCCCTTTTTCACAGAACGAAGACAAAACTAACATAGCACCTGAAAGGCTATTTAATTGAGCTCTTTTGCTGAAGTAATCAAATTATGCTGATTCACAATTGGATGCTTTTCAGCAAGTAATGGTTAATTATACTTGTCTAACTGTTACATCCACTGCAAGGTTTTAGTCACAATCAACAAAATTTTTTTAGCTCTAAAGACATTTAATACTCAGGTATATAACTGATTATGGGTGGTACACAGAAGCAGATAATTTATTTTTCGTGAGCTGACAGCATTACCTGAAGTTTTTGAATAATCACAGTAAGTACAGAGAAGTGGGTGGAGATAGAGGGTAGGTGAAACTGGTATTTTCCTATAACGTAAACAGCTATGTGAAAATTGCAAATAAAATGCAGCCTCCAGAAGCAGGATTAGGTTAGTAAAATTATTGAAGATTCACACTTTTCACTGGTTTGTTAAGTGTTATCTGACACAAGTATGTTTTCTAACAACAAAATTGTGATCTCATACATTCATGCAAGTGTACATGACCCTTCTGTAGAGATGCGATTTTACCTTAGCTTTATATTACTGTAGTGTGCTCTCTTCTTTCACATGGAACAAACCAGAGTTAGATTCATCAACTCTCAGGATCAAGTCCAGATAAATGGAGAGGGGTGTTGGGAAGAGGAGCCAGGGCACCCACTAATGATTTTCTCATATCCCTGAAAAAGAAGAAACATAATGGAATACTGTGGTATTTAAACAATTCCTCTATAAATCTAAAGGCCAAGTTGTAAGAAGTGTAGTGTTGTTAATCTTTGGAACACGTTAGTCTTTCTAATCACAATTTGTTAATTGAAACCATGGCACTCCAACATGCACATACATTTTTATGAGCAGGAACTTCAAAGTCCATACCACTAAGTGGGAATTTACAAAACTAAAACACATTCTGGTGAGTTGTGCACTGACTCAAAGCCATAAGCAAGGATTAAATGAAGCTGCACATAAACAAGAAGCAACATTGTGTTTTCTTCTAATGAGACAAATTGTATAGAGCAAGAAGAAACACACAAAGCTTATATAAAATGAAGGCAAAAAATAAATAAATAAATATAAACAGGAAGCAGTTTTATGGCTCAAATGTGACAAACCAAACTATTTAATATAAACTATAAATAAAATTTCTGATTCAATGCTTTTTAACAGGAAACACTTTTACACAAGTAGGAAGCAAACTGTTAAAAAAAATCCAGAATTAAGCTCAATATATGCAAAACTAGGAAAACATACATTTTATTGTTTACTTTTACTATGTGTTGGCGGTCAAAAAAGATACAATGAATAAACAATTTAGACACAAATGAACCACATGAAGATTGTCTTGTGTGCCATAAAAAGAGAAGTGTTTCTTCTGACTAAAACCTCCTGCCTTGGCACGGATAAGGACGCCTAATTATTTGCTAAAAGCAGCCTAATTATTTGCTCAAAGCCTATCTTTGTATTCCTTCCTTCATATGAAAAAAATTTTGGGTTTATTGCAATATACAGGTGAAAAACCATGGAGTTTGAAATCTCTTTTTAAAGGGTGACTTAATTTACTCATCAGCCACACAGCTTGTCACATAAAGTAAAAATCATTTATAGATTTCAAATAAGAGTTGGGTACAATTTCAGGTAGCACGTCTATTTTATTTCTTTAAAAAGACAATATGCTTATTTGGGAGTTTAATATTAAACATACATAGCTCATTGTATTCAATTATGTTAATTCTAAACCACAATATTAATCTGAAACAGCTAAATAAACAGAAATAAATACGTAGATAAGATCCACTGACTTCCTGTTAAAAAAAACTACAGAACTGAAAAGCCTTGTATCTTCTTGGCATTTCCCTGTACTAAAAGTCTGAATTTCTGGAATAACCATAACTAAGTATAGGGATGTGGGCAGATGTGGAGTAGGTAAAAACTGAAATTTTCTCAGTAAAAACTATGGGTATAGCTTTTAGGACTGCACCCCACTTTGCTAAGGGTTTTTCCACTTTAAAATAGAAAGCCTCTTTTACTCCCCTCTCCCCCTGTCCCTCCCCCAGTATGAGGACAGCCTGATCCAGAGAGCTGTGGTCGTGTATCTGTGAATATAAAGACACTACTGAGTCCTGTCCTGAGGGGCTGAGTTGTCGGTGTCAGAAAAAGAAAAAAACTGACCAAATAATATTGTTTTGAGAATTGTTATAATATGGTTAAAAGCTCATAAAAGTGTCCTCTTGTAAAAACATTTAATGCATGGAAAATGATTTCAGTGTGTAAGAACCCATCTTCTTTCCCAATAAATGTACAGGAAGATAAATCATGCTATAATGTAATGCTATCTACACCACAATTTAATTAATTCTTCAGAGGAATACCATTGTTCAATTGTTGACAACAGGAACATCCCCAGACTTGTCAGTATTGCATAAAGGACCAAACTAAATCATACAGTGTCTGTTTGTTGACTTTGCATGATTATATTACAACATTGTGCTATATTTAACAGAATGAGTTTACATCAGGTGAAAGTGTTTCACACAATGCAAGGTGTTTTTTGATCGGGTTAGACAAAAAAACAAACATGTTTTGTTTGTTTATTTATTACAATCATAGGATTAGGATATTTAATGGCCACTGCTAAACTAATGTGGCACAAGTAGTGTGAGTGTGGGAGGACCAGATTGTGAAGAACTGTTTGTATCCTTCTACTACAAAAGGGCCCATATTGTGAAATTTTATGATCTATCTTGTTTTCTCAACATAGACATACCTGGAGCTGTGTTCTGTTTCATTCACACATGTTTAACACACGAAACCTGCATGTTTGGGCTGAGCTCTTCTCTCAAACTGAAAACACTCTGTTCCACCTTGTCATGTCATGAGGCAACAGGCAAAAGTGTTCGACTGTGTTATTAAACTCCATACACCTTCACTAGAATCATTTGGATAATTTTAACCCTGAGACTGAACATCTCTACTGAACTAAAGGTAAAAGGTATCTGTTAACTTTCATAACATCACAAGGTGGAACAGAGCATTAGACAGATTAATAATAAAGGATTACTCAATCATGTGTGAATGAAACAAAATATAACTCTGGGTACATTTTGATGACATAACAACTTTATAGCATGGCTTAAAGCTCACAAGAGTCCAGTTTGTAGTATAAGACCTTTAAAAGCATTATATTTTAGTAAAGCATATATGTATATTTGACGGCTGCTTCTGTTACAACAGGAAATTCTTCAGTATTTCACTAACAGGTGGAAAGGCAGACACTTATAAATTAAAATTGTAAACTGATTTGATGGAATCTGCTCCTCCAAAAGCAGCTAAAGCTATAGTCATAGTTTTACATACACGTTCTCATTTTAGTGTGATGAAAGTAATTATAACTAATAATGTGAGAACCTTTATTTGTCCCACAGTGGGGAAATTTCAGAATAGACTTACTTAGCAGCAGACGACTACCGTGAAAACTCCAAACATTCCTCTCTATTTCTGGATCCTAAAAAACAAATATTTGTCAGTGAATTAATACATTAAATGATACAAAGGTTTGTGTGAAAAAACACTTTCTGCTCTATGAAATGTCAGTGACCATTTTCAAAGTTGGATCAAATTAAAGCCTGACAAAGCTGTGGCTGTGTAAGTTTTTTAGGCTAATTTAAACAAGTCACAAATAACTTATGTTATACACACAGACAAGCGCAGAATGTACACTTGAAAGAGCTGCGTGTTCGGCCTGTCACTTAAATTACAACTGATTGGACCTAGTCTGTTCTTTGATCATAATAAATCAAAAATAAATCAATAGACAGACTGTGTTTTATTATAATTTGGGTTTATTTATATTTCATTTGAATTAAATGTAATGCAATGACTCGGAATGTTTTGATACTAGTTATAAAATAAACACAGAATAAAACAGTAATGAGCAGGAGTAGAAGTAAAAATGGTAATGGGAGTACAGTGGAAACAGCTGCAGCAGTAGTAGTTTTACAGTTCTACAGAAGCTGAAGTACAGTAGTACAAGCAGCTGAACAGTAGCAGAGGTACTTATTATTACCTGGTAGAAGAGGTAGTTCTTGTAGTTGCAGCACGGATAGAGGTGGAAGCAGAGGCAGCAGTATGAAGCTAAGGAAGAGGGGCCACTGGAGTCATTAGTAAAGCTTAATAGTAATAAATGTACAACGTTTTTCAAAAAGATGAGTGTGCTACATTGGTAGAAACGAATGCATAATCAAGGAAAATTGTTATGCACTCAGCCCATTCATGACTAACGTTTGTGCTTTGATAATTTTAAGAATGCGTTTCTGTATTTTACCTAAACAAGTGGAAATTTATGCCCCTCTTTACTGTTGTCAGGTATCAAATTGGTTAAAACATGGATACCTGGGACATTTCTTGTATATAACTGGGACAAATTTGGATAAATCTGCAGAGACAGGGGACACAGGGCTCAAAACTGGGACTATCCCGGGTAAATAGGGACGCCTGAAAGACCTACATTAACAACAGACACATTTCATTACCTTTTCTAACAAATACAAAGTACTATATATACTAATAATGTTGTACTAAAACTAAAATCAAACAATGGCATCTTATTTGACGTTACCTAATTTCGCCGACAGAATATTTTATAGAATTAAAAAAGTAAGGATTAACGCTAAATCTGTTTGGATAAGCCATAAATTAAGTTTATATTGCTCAATATTGCATACTACGCACTCCATCAGTCTTGCCTTATGAACTGAATATTTTATCGGCTAAACTGAATGATAGATCTAGACCTTGAGCTAACAAGTCCGTGCCGGCAGAGTAAGGTAAATTTGGCCGAACCAAATCATGTAAGATAATTGCTTAGATTATTCACAAACAGGACCAAGACATTTTCAATTGTATTTAAACTTAGACACTAGTTCAAGATTGATTTGATTTGTTACTCATGATTATATTAAACTTGTATAAAAACATAATCATTCATTTGAATTGTTTCAACTCACACACAGCGTCCAGTGACATGCGAACTACGAGGAACCACAACACCGGCATGCAGATTCCCGTCGGAAGACAAAAGGTGTCGGACCAATAGGCTGAATGGAAATGGTCGATATGATTTATGTTTATTTTCTTTGGTAAAGGGGAAAATGGGCGCACTGTAATTAGATTTTGTTATGTGCATACAATGAAGATTTGCCCCTTCAATCATGTTTGCCAAACCGTTCAGGGTGAAATCCAACACTGTAATCAAAGGGTCTGACAGGTGAGTTATTCTGACACTAAAATTATTTCACGTTTAAATCCTTTAATAGTCTTTAGACCACTATATGTGTGTTTTTACTGTGTCTGGTTACTATGCACTATACACATAATCCAGTGTTGTGTTTGAGGAAATGTACAATGTGAGAATTACTCTAAAAATGACCAACGAGAGTTTGCAGAATAAATATTACTTGGTGCAGATGATATTTGTTTAATTACTCCGACCCACGAGTCTTTGCCATATTTTATTAGAGGCAAAACTACTATTTTGTTTGTGGAAAATGCCATGCCATGAAAAGGAATAGCCCAGCTGTGGTATCAAAAGACAATTTTATAATCGTATTTAATAGTATGCAGTGTAAAATAACCATGTGCGTTAAATAGTAACACAAGCGTGTATACTTAACTTCTTTCTTTTTTACCTCTCCAGGAGAAAGCTCAAAGCTGACCTGTCAGTGGCCTTTCCTGTTTTAACTGCAGATGAGTTGTCAGAACTGGTTCCCAACAAAGAAGAGTTAAATGTAGTCAAAATTTATGCTCACAAAGGAGATGCAGTGACACTTTACGTTCTTAACAAAAATCCTTTATTTTTTGAGTTGGAGAAATGCATTTATCCCACAGGTAATCTGATTTCTTCAAACATAACATGATTGTGGTACAATGCTGAAATCACTTTTGTATTTATTTCACAGTTTATGTGCTTTGGAGATTTCCAGCTTTGTTACCAGCATTCACAACCTGGCCCCCTGTTCTTGACAAATTAATTGGAGGAGCAGGTGTAATTTTTTTCTTTAAAGTTATTGTTCATACTATTCCAATATTTAATGTATTTAATGTGCAATCTTTATGTTTAACCTATAGACCTCATGCTTCCGGGTGTTGTTGTGACCCAAAGTGGTCTCCCCCATGTGAAGCAAGGAGACTGCTGTGCTGTGAAAGTGGTCAATAACGGGCAAGTTTACGTTTCTTTACTATGACTGTAGTATTGTATTTCAAATTTTAAAGCAAATTTTGCTCCTGTTGATAATAGGGCTCCTTTTGCTGTTGGGACTGCAGCAGTGTCCTCTACAGCTATGCAGAGTTCAGGCATGAAAGGCAGAGGTGTTTGCATCCTTCACACATATATGGATACCCTGTGGTCAGTGCTGCCATTTTCTTCTCCTTATTCATATATCAGCATCAGTTATTGGGTTAGCTGAGGTCAATTTATTGACCGGCAATGGCCGGCATCTTTTTATACCAATTTGCTAATTTGCTGTTAAGTGTAATAACAGGAGTAAAGTGGAACCAAACAATTATTTTACAACATGACATAATATTATTCTTGTAATAATAATAATATTCAGTTGACATAATAATTCCACTGAGGTTTTTGTGTGTTTCAGGGCTTTTGGTGATAAGTCAGGTCCTCCCTCATTACCAGACAGTACAGAAACTGAAGAACAAGTGAACGGAGAGGAAAGTGACCCAGAGGAAGAAGTGGGGAAGGAGGAAGAGGTGGCAACATGTTGTGACGAGGCACACAGTCAAGAGGTCACAGATCAGGTCTGCACTAGAGTGGAGCAGCTGAGCGTGTCTGAGGAAATCCAGGAGGAAATTGACATGGAAAAGAAAATGGAGGATGAGCAGAGAAGCCCACAAGGTACTAGATTCCATAAGTGCAAATCAATAAATTTGGAAAATAACTTGAAAAATGAAAGTATCGTATTTACCCTTTTAGTGTAGTTTTACTTTAAACTACTTCATCAATGGAGCCATAAAGTAACTTTAATGAGTGGAGCATCATAGTCCATATATACTGTATAAAATTCACTTAGATTCTTCTCATCAAGATAAAATTTCTAGATCTGAAGCTGGGTCCCTACTCCTGGCAGGTTGCCCAGAGGATGCATGGAGCAAAGTGGAGCAAAAATAGCCTACAAATACCTTGTATCGTTCGTGCCTGAGTCATAGCACGCAAAACATGTTGTTGATGAAAGAATCCGTATGACCTAAACTGACCTCTGTTTTCACAGAGCTGATGGACGCCCTACTGTTTCAGTGCTTTCTCCATGCACTTAAGACCAAAGTGAAAAAGTCAGAGCTCCCTCTGTTGACCAGCACATTTCTTCGCAATCACATGTTTGCCTGTTGGTAAGATCAGTCCTTATTAATTTTGTTCACTGAAAATTAAATACATTTTAACTAGGTAATTATGGTTTAATTTCAGTCCAAGTGGAAAGCAACTGGACATGAAGAAATCAAGTTATAAGAAGGTAGAGTTGAATGTGTAAGGCAATAGAATGTATGAATGAAGAAATTAAATTGATTCATATACAATTTTTTACAGCTTTCCAAGTTTCTGCATACAATGCAGCAACAGTACAGCTTGATACGCGTGAAAGAACTGACAAAGGGAGTGGAGAGCATTGTGGAGGTGGACTGGAAAAATCCAGAGTGAGAGAAATCCTGTGTTATGTTTTATGATTTGACACACATTCTATAGTCTATAGTGTAATATTTATAACTCATGGTTACATTATTATACTATAGACTACGTTCCTTCAGCATCTCTGAGGAGGCTGCTTGTGAGGTTGACCCAGCGCCTGAAGGACGGGAAGGGGACATTCCCTACCACCCCCCAGAGATCACCACTGTGTACTCAGTGTCAGCACGAGTGGAACCTCTCTTTCTGGATGCACAGAAGAGGTGTGCTGAGAAAGTGTCTACAAATTTCATATTTAATCCTTCGAGCTCCGGGAGGGATTCTGTGTAACTGACCTCTACCACTGACCTGTGTAAACTGTGTATGACAACATTTACACAGCAGTTGTGGTTTATCTTATGGAGGTTGTTTTCATCTTTTAGTCTGACATTGTTTTAAAATGTTACACTTGCCATCTGATATTTAGACTAAACGCCATATACTTATTTTTCTTTAGAGAGATAGTTAGTCTTCTCCTCAGAATAGTGTAGGTTCAAATACATACAAGACATTTATGGTACATTTAATTCTGCTAAAGGTATCTTTAATTCTGCTTAATCTAGTTTTTAAGTGGAGATACTGAAATGCTTAAATCCTACATTGTTTTACATTGATTATATTATTGACATGACAATCACACTGCAAGTCTGTGCTCATTCTAATCAACTCTCCAAAATAACATTATGATGTCATATGTCTATATATGCCATCTACAGGCTACATTATCATTATTATGCTGCCTATATCTATATTTTACATAGGTGTTACATAGGTCAGTGGCTACATAGGTCCATTTCTACATCTTTAATTACTCCTATGTAACTTTAATGACATTTTCATTTTCTTACGTTGTTCCTATAGAAAAGGAACTGTACTCCAGCCTGCAGAAGTAAGAAGTATTATCACTGATTATGTGAAGAAGAATGAACTGGTGGCTGAAAACAATAAAAAGTAAGTTTGCAGAGTAACAAAACTGGTTTACATCTGTGCAGTGGAAAAGGACACTGAGATTTTGAGACTGCCCTGAATTTATTCAAATGAATTGTAGAACAGAGAGAACATAAATTTGAAATTGAATAAAAACTAAATGAATGACTTTATGGGGTGGCACATGTTCTATAGCACTATTGAGCATTGTCTCTTTCTTTTTGTTCATCCAACAGTTATGTTATAATAAACCCTACCTTGTGTGACTGTCTTCTGGAGAAATCCGAATACCAGGAAGTGGAGTCAATAAAGTGGGATGATCTTTTTAGCAGGTGCAGTAAACTGAATGGAGAAATATATAAATTATACCTTAGTATCTTTTGCATGCCCTTGGTTCTATGAAAATGTCAAATGACTGAAATACTTGATTGTCTTGCATTCATTTTTTAACCCGACAATTTTATTTCATAATGAGCCATGAGTCAGTGTATTCTAGCCTTCAACATTTTCTTGTAAGAAATCAAATGCAAAATTTGTCTGGGAGGGAGAGTATAATTTCTTTTTAGTATTATTATTATATTTCCTTTACTGTCATTGTGTGACTCACTAGTGAACAGTGTTCCTGTCCTTTGCAGGACACTCTGTAAGATGCAAGAATGCTATCAGATTGTGTTCCCAGGACAAGAGCCCATAACAAAGAAGGGCCATCTTGATCCCATAGATATCTCTGTTGCCTCGAGAGGATCTAATAAAAAGGTGATAGGTCTAACCTTAATGAAATTTACTAAAATGAAATGTTTGCCATTGAATAGTATTTATTAATAATCTTGCAGGTGACACTAATTAAAAACCTAGAGTTGTATGGTCTTGATCCTGCCGTAGTATCCACAGCTCTGCAGCACAGAGTGCAGGCCAGCTCTGTGTTACAGCCTCTCCCTGGGGCCAAGGACCGAGTGCTAGTTCAAATCCAGGGCAACCAGATCCATCAAGTTGGAAATCTTCTCATAGGTTTGGAGATTAATTTATTATATTGCAATTTTATTCTTTCAATTGTTTTGATGAAACTATTCAAAATGTCTTTGTGTCTGTTTTATAGATCATTATAAAGTGCCACGCAAGTTTATCCAAGGCTTAGACAAAGCTCCAAAAGGAGGGAAAAAGAAATAGAACTCAAATATCAATGTGTGATAAGTGATCGTAAAACATTGTGACAATAAATCTAATTGGTTCTATCATGAAAACAGTGTCTCATTTTGTTTATATGACAACATTTTTAGGATTACCATGTTATCAAATTGCATTGCAATTTTATGTTTTACTAAGATAGACCAGAGGTTAAATTATACTGAATTAAGCTGTTCTGGTGAAGTCAGCCCCCTGTTGTTTCCC